ACAAAACAAAAAACAGCCCTTTGGTGTTGGTGGAAAAATGCACCATGTCGACCAATCAAAAAATGACATGGCAACATGAGAGAGGGTGACGTTTAGCGTGTTTGGAGTGTGTAGTTAATGTGCTGTCTTGAGTAGTGTTGTGGATAGTTTTGTGTTGTGTGTCAGAGCAATGAGGCGACTGTTGTCTCCAGGTAGAAAACAGGAGGAGTGATACACCTGCTGCTGTCAGACCTGCAGGTATCATGCTGTGATGTTCTCCTTTATAGTGGACAGAAATTTCATTATTATTATTTTTGGAGTGGCACAAATAATTTGTGTGGCATCTTATTGAATGCAGAACAGCTGATTGTTCTGTAAATAGTTTAAAGTGGTTATAAAAAGGGTAAAAGGTAAATGGCTGCAAATAACTGTTGTTTGCAAAACTTGTGCATATGATTTTAAAATTGACCATTTATATTTGCATTTAAAGTTATGAAACATATTTCAATAAAATTCAGACACGTGAGGTTGTGCTGAAAAGGATGATACCAAACAAGGCAAAGTAAATAGTTTTAAAGGTGGGAGGGAAATCAAAAGTAGTCAAAATGGCCAATTATAGCCTGGATCCCAGAGGGTTAAACAACAAGTAACGCAATAGTTACTTTTCAAGTAATTAATTACTTTTAGAATCTTGTAACTCAGTTATTAACTCGGTTAGTTTTTTGAAGAAGTAACAAGTAACTATAATTAATTAATTTTTCAAAATAACTTGCCCAACACTGATTATTTATGGGTATGGAAGGGTTTCATTTTTCTACCTTCACAGTGAAGAGTTTTTAATCCGATTGTAGTGAAATGTGAAGGGAAGCAATTGCGTTCTTTCCATGGTCCTGTCAACCTAATTTAACTGGAGTTTATCTTATTAACATTAGCAGCGATGGAAACAAGAACATTTCAGCAAACGTGACTGAGCAGCACACGAGAAAGCTTGGTGATAAGCCTACCCAATATTTTCCTCAGCGGTATTTAATGTTTTTAAATTTGTTTTCTTTTGTTAAACAGGAACGAGTTGAGATTCAGAAGCTGCGGCAAGGAGAGAATCTCATCCTTGGCTTCAGCATCGGAGGAGGGATAGATCAGGACCCCGGGCAGAATCCCTTCTCTGAGGACAAGTCTGACAAAGTGAGCTTATCTGCAGCTCTCATGTCTTTACGTGCAGTCTTTTCATTTTGATTCTCTCCCTTTGTTCTTAATAGAATATTTGTAGACAATAGTGATGTAGCCGAAAGGAATAAACCCACGAATGACCCTGTCTTCGGGTCACTCGTTTTGGTTATGTGGATTTTATTCTTAATTTGACAAGACGCTGAATATCCACCCACAAGTTGCCATTGCGCTAAAGCGTAGTGGTACAAGTATCCACAAAGTACTTATCGTTTTGGTTAACTACAGGCCTGAACACGTTACTCATGGCCTCGGGTGGTGACTAAACAAACTCAGCAGAGCCACAGAAAGGAAGACTTCAGGCTTACATTAAGTCATGATGACTGCACTGAAATGCACCAGCTGATTTGTTAGAGAGGAATAAGACTTTGATACTGGCTTCTACACTTTTACTGTTTCCTTTACTAACATATTTTTGAGCATTACAGGAACTTTGTTGTGAGAGATGTCCTCTGTGCCCTTAAATTAACAACAGATCAGGCCTCTGTCCATTTTTCTCTTTATTTTACTTTATTTTACTTTAATGGGACAAAAATAATTTCTTATGCTAGTGTGTCCTTTACTTTAAGCACTTGATGCTTTCCCCCTGGGATCCTCCTCCTGTACTGCCTCCAGACTGGCAGTATTGGAGGCAAAGGCCTTCAGGAATATCCTGTATTATTTTGGACTACCCATTTTAAACCAGACCTGCTCTCCAATTGTGGTAAAAAAATGAAACGATGAGTTCTTTGTTTTCACAGGGCATTTATGTGACCAGGATATCACCTAAAGGCCCAGCAGACTTGGCCGGCTTGAAGATAGGAGACAAAATAATGCAGGTATGTAGTGAAATGAAGTTTTTCTTTTTGGATAGTTGATCCACAAGATGGCACTGTGTACCTCAGGAGCAGTGCTGTGATGACTTTTACTTTTGTTATTTGATTCTTTTAATTTCAAACTAAGTTCCTTCCTTCTTTCCAGGTGAACGGTTGGGACATGACCATGGTGACTCACGATCAGGCTCGTAAAAAATTAACCAAGAAGAAAGAGGATGTGGTACGACTGCTAGTAACCAGGAAGTCGCTTGAGGACGCTGTCAAACACTCTAAGTGCTCTTATGCCAAACACTAGTGTGGTGGCTCTACTTTCACACAGACTAATGCCATAGCCAAGGAATGAAGACTCACTTGGAGAACACATACTACCCCAAATAGTTGCACCGTGGCCTTTATACTCCAGTAATGCAAAAACAGATAAGTAAACAAACTGAGACAGATCAGTTTGTTCATTCAGATCAGTCTGTAGAAAATGAGACTCTGTTATCTGTTTTGTTTTTTTCTCTCATTTGTGGCATATCCGATTATAACTGATCTCAGTAAATTATGGGAAATAACGCTGCTTGAATAACAGCATTTGAGATATTTGCAGCGATTATCATCTTCATTTGCACTTAAAGCAATTTAAATTAGCATTTGGAGAACATTTAATAGACCGGTTCTTCTGCAAGGAGTGTTAACTCATTCACACATTTAGAATATATTTGTTAAGGAATTTGTCCACACACCCTTCCCCCCCCCTTTAAAAAAATAAAATAAAAATAGGTTATTTGGGAACAATCAGAGTTTAATTTGTTTTCCAGCAGCTGACCAAAGTTAAACTGGACACACTGGATACACCCAGAAAAATTCACTGTTGTTTATTCATCTCAGTTAAAGAACCAATATTTTTCTGCCACTAACACAGCAACAAATGCCAAAGTAAAATCAAAGTTTGTGTAATTTAGTATTTCCAGTTTTGTTTTTCTTTAAATAATGGTACAGTATATTGTATAAAATCTATGCAAAAAATGTCAATAGAGCCAATTTCCAATGTGTTTTTTTTTCTTAATGATAATTCTACTGATGCATCACGTTTTTCAAGTTGCATTCAGTCTAACATCCTCTCACCTTATGCATCTGTTAAAGTAACTACACAGCCAGAATTACAGTAAAGGTGTTTCATATTAACATTACTTCACATGTTGGATGTTTCTGGATGCACACTTGTCAAATGAGCATATTTGCTTCCAGTTACCTTTTTATCGGCTTCAGAAAGAGAACAATGCTTTTTTGTTTGTTTGTTTGTTTGTTTGTTTGTTTGTTTTTCCTGGAGGAGATGATATTCAGCAGTTGGCTCCACTGAGACTGTTTCGAGGTATAAATAGTTTTGTTTCTTGTCACTGAACAAAAGTCCAGTTTGAAACTGTAAATCAGCCAAGAAGGAGTGAATGTTGTTTGTTAACTTGAAAATGTGCACAGCAGCCTTAAATGTATTAACACTAAGTTTTAATAATTCATTTCCAATTTGCCAGTGTGGTATGATCTCACTAGTGCATCTTTCCTGCAACATGTAATAAATGACACTGGAGACGACTTCTAATAAGTATGTTTGCTATGAAACCTTTTCAGACTGAAACCGATATTCTGCTACATTTCTTTTACTTTTGGGTGAACTTACTTTTTTTTTTTTGGTATGTAAGTTGCTTATAAAATATTAAATTTTTTACAATATTAAACAAGCAATAATCAAGTTTGTAAAATAAATGGTTTGCTCAAATAAAACACCTGTATAACTGTAAAAACAAACAAACATGCTGCTGGTCATTTATTTATTATTGTTTCATACTGTACTGTAGAGTCGATTTACAGGTGCCTGTGGGCCTCTCAGTGTTTTAAATTCATGTCATCTTAGAATCTCTAAGAGTTTTTGACAAACTGCTCTGTTGGAAACCATTGCTTCAGAAAATGTCAGTATAGCGGTATTTTTATAAAAGTTTAGCCTGCAAAATTTTATGTTTCAAACATTTTGCTCAAGACTTTGTAACCTGTCAGATGAGCACAAAGTTTGTTTTGGTCTTTTTGTTGTTGTTTGTTTTATTGTAGAACATTTGAAAAGTGAATGTTTGTCAGATATAAAAGTTCTGCTTTTTCAACAATGGCCGACTGAATGCTGTTTAGAGTTGTACTATCTTGATATGTTGATGTCAGTGGGTCTGATCCAAACGTTGTCAGGGTGCTCGAACACGAAACCAACAGCTTCAGATGATGTCATGTTAATAGAAAGGACCGCATGTGTGAAACGTGCTAAAATCTGCGAATAACAGACATACAGTAACTGATTACTTTACCCCTCTTTTTTTATGTTGCAGGACCTTCAGATAGCTTCGTGATGCCAGTTAAAGAGTAATCAGCTGACATTTCAAAGCAAAGAATCTATTCCCTGACCTTTCCGTGTTTAGCAAGGCTTTTTGATACAGTGCGCTCTTCTTTTATCTCTTAAATGTGTCCGTGTCAGCTATTCAAAGCATACCTTTGAACAGAGGTCTCAGATAATTCATAGAAAGGAACCTTTCCATTGTGTTGCTATAACTGCATATGCCTCTAATATTTCCTTTTCCACTTTGCGCAGTGACAAGTGCATAATTGTAAACCCTTTTTTGGGGTACACGTATGTTCCAGGGCAATAAAAAGTAAACATTTGCACCAGTTCTTCTAGATTTTAAGGTGAAAAATTAAAAAAAAGGAAATGGGGAAAATATATTTACTGATTTTAAAGTTTTGCTGTTGTTTTTATTTGTATTTTATTGATTTTGAATAGATCAGGGCTACTGTGATTTTAAATTGTGTTGGTAAAGCTGTTTTTGGTGTTGCGTAATGCACTACCAGTGAATTACCTGTGCTCTGAGGACCAAACACACCTGAATTGAATGTGCTGTGTAATGTTTAAAGTCCTAAAATAACATCTGGACACATAATGGGAGAGGGTCGATTTGGGGCACCGCTTAGCTAAAATCCCCCCTTTGAGAAATAATTTATGAGCGAGCCGTGTGTGTGCGCTTGTTATTTTTATCAGGACAGAGGAAGCATGCTCCATTCCACTTACCTGGGCTTCATAATACTATTGCACCATGTTGTGAGACAAGAATGCGATTGTGCAAACACCAGCTGAAGCTCAGACTCGCTATCTAGGTTGGCTTTCCCTAATACCGCAACATTAATACCTCGTGTGTTGCTAGGTAACTAATGGACAGCTATTAAGTGGGTAACAGCGAGCCCCTAATTTGATTCCAGTGTGATTATTTAATCAGCACTTACCAGTCAGCAGTAGTTATTCTGTATTATTTTTAATGCAGTAATTGTCAAACTTACTTAATTTGTTTGATAACACGGTGGTCAAGTATGTATCAATTAATACACTTATTAAACTCATCGAAACCCAGCACACTTTCCCATCAGACTAAACGAACCACCTATAATGACACGAGTAAGAATGCAGCTTCTTGCTGCTGAAAGATAACACTAAGACAAATGTTTCTTCCTGCAAGCGGGTGAATAATTACACTATCTAAACATGGATCATACATGATCCATGCCTCCCACGTTATGGCAGGATAATTGGGTTGCCATGGTAATGCGGACTGCTCCTATCACTGTGGTCATACGCCAGATTGGAACTTGAAGGAAGCCTACAGAGATATCCCGATCCTAGGCTGGACTGTTGCAATTCCTTATTGCGAGGCTGTTTAATAGCTCTGCTACCTGACAAAACCATATTTATATCTAATTGTTTGCCACTTATCACTGGCTGCCTGTGGGACTCATAATATCCCCGTGGTTCTTGGAGTTTTAAAAAGTATAGTAGGAGGTAGAGCCTTCAACTTTCAGGACTCAGACACCACATCTACTTAAAAATTAGGCCTAAAGTCCTTTTTATAAATTTTATTTAAAGTTGGATCAGTTCAGTGATATAGGCTCAAAATGCTGGGGTAGATGCTATATTGTGCAGAGCACCTCTTCTCTGCTTTCCTCGCTCACCCACCATGCATTTATTAGTATGTTGCACTATTTCTGTAACCTTCTGTGTTTTCACTCGCTGCACGTTACTGATCTGCTGCTACCGCCATTAAAAACTAAATTGTTTATCATCTCTCTTTTGTCTTTGCTTTCCACTCACCCCAACTGATCAAAGCAGATGGTCAACCTCCCTGAGCCTGGATCTGCCAGAGATGTCTTCCTGTTAAAAGGGAGGGGGGTTTTGGTGATCCGAGGATATTGTTGGGTTTCTCTTTAGAACATTGTGAAGATTTACCTTTGAGTCTGAAATGTTGCGCAACATAAATAAGGCTGAATTGAAAGCTGAATGTTGGAGACATTGACAATAAAGGAGAATCCTAAAGAGTCTCTCAAAAATGAAATGTTACAGAGCTTACCATTCAGTTCATCAGTTTAGAAATGATGCTCCTAAATTTCAAATTAAAATATTTGGTTTCCTATAGCACTGGCCACTTCCATATCTGAAAAGGCACCATTAAAGCTGAATTCTTTATACAGTCGTGTAAAAAAAGAAAGTTTACAAAGGACTCTGTGCAGTCCTGTGACAATCTAAATACATCCATGATTCAACAGCTCAAGGAGTTTTGACCCATTCTTCTTTATTCTTCTTTATAATGTTGCAGTTCACAGCACTTAGTTAAGGTCTGGACTTTGACTGGGTCGTTGCAGCATGTTGAATCTTTTGTTTTTCACAAAATAAGCTCATCCATCCACCAAAGTGCTTAACGGCTGGTAAAAGGTGTTTGTGCTGATATGTTGTGTTTCGCTTTTGTCAGACTGTGAATTATAGCCAAACATGTCTGCTTCAGTTTAATCTGTGGAAAGGTCACAGTTCCAGGAGCCTTGTTGTTCTTTTAGATATAACTTTGCAGAGCTAAGCTATGCTGCCATGTTCTTTTTAGAGAGAGGAGGCTTTCACCTGACAAGCTTTCTAAAGATTAACTGTACTGTCATGAAGATTAACATTTAGCATGGTAACTGCAACCCGTGGAGCCATTTATTTTAGCACTGCGTGGTCTGATTTTGGGGTGAACTTGCTGTGATTTCTACTCCTGGGAAGATTGTGGCATTAACACAGACACAATAAAATCCCCAAACTTCAGTATTTATGAAGGATGGTAAAGTTCACTGATGATCAGTTAATCAAATGCATTTGATTAGAAGTATTTACCCTTTTAATTCCCATGTAAGCAGTCAGGGTGTGTTTAGTTTTTCACAGGAATGTACATGTCCTATGCACAGTCCTGTCTATTTAGCTGTTCTATTTAGCTTCTGACAATGCTATATTACAATAACATGCATTTTACAATAAAACACAATAAGCAAAAATCATAAAGGAATCAAAATTGAAGAAGAAGAAGGAGAAGAAGTTGGTTCTAGAGCTGCCTTTTGTCTGTGGTGTAAAGATTGAGACTGTTCTTTATCTCTAATCTTTCTTGAATCTTTCTGGAACAGTAGTTGACAAAAACTCAACATGGCAAAATTTTTTAATAAGTTTTAAATTTCTAGTCTTCTTGTCTCTGAACATCAAACTTAGGCAAACTGTCAATTTAATAAATAAAATAAAATTAAAATACCTCTACAACATCTTGATTCTGTTTGCTGAATAGTTTCACTCTGAAAAATAAAAGTTCATCCATTGTTATGTTTATTCAATGGCTTTTATTTATCTATTTATGTATTTTTAATTATCCTCTATTGATAGAGTGACTTGACCAAGAAAGAGGCAGAAACAACCACATAACAATAAAACGAGTAACGAAACAAATGTTTAAACTCGTCTCCAAATCCTGCGCAGTTTGTTGGCTTGTTTCTTTGTTCGTGCCACAAAGTTGTGTATACTATATGACTGCATGTTAAAGCTACTTTTCTCCCCGCTGTATGTGCTCATGCATATCAATGCACCGTTTGTGAACGTGGATATGATGCGTGGGAGTGCGAGTAAAAAGCTGGATGGCATCGGGGTTACGCATACACGAGCTCCCCAAAGTCCAACTAGCAGATGCATGTTGTCATAGCAATAAGTGCCGTGTAGTTACACGTAAGATCTACTGTGGATCTGTTGTGCTGTTTTACACACATAAACCGGTTATCCACCAGGGCACGTGACGTGATCATGAAACCCACCGAGATAGCTGATTTGCGATGAAGCATTTCGCACAGCTTTGGTGCTCGTGAATGGGCAGCAGGCGGCTTATCTTCATCGTTATTTCTCTCTCCCGAAGAGTCCTTAACCTCCTCCTCCCACGCAGACCTCTTGGCTGGAGGCTTCACGCACAAACAGAAACCGACACACAGTAAAACAGGAGTTAACAGTAAAGATGAAAGGGGGGGTGGGATACTGTGGGTGGGCGACACTTGTTCATTATCGACTGCTTAGTGGAGAGGAAAGCATCTACATGACTGTGTGAGGAGCGTCTTGGACAGAAAGAGGTGTGTGACAGTTTATTTCCAATCGTTTGTGGAGCAAGTTAATCTGTAATTACAGGAGGCATCGTAAAGTTGTAGCAAGATTGTGTCAAGTTTTAATTTGTGTCTTGCAGCGACTTGAAGGAGGACAGCCGAAAGCAGGAAGGATCTATGACAGCTCAGCACATCTAGAAACAGAAACAGGGTAAATATCTATCTATCTATCTATGGGCAGATAGACCACTGTTCACACATTTCTTGCCTGTGAAGCTTGAATGTATGTGTATGTCTGATTGGATTGAATTTTCTCCTGTTGCTATACTGCTATACTAATTCTCACCTTTCTCTATTTTTAA